TTTGGCAATCTCGGCATTTATCATCACAATGCCATGGTCTGGCTCTACATACGGAAGGCAGTGGAGTTCAAGTTCATGGCTCGCCATCAAATGCAACTGCACAAGTGTAGTACCATCAAAATCTTCCTCCAAGGGGGGAGCTTCTCTCTCCTCAGGAGTTGCAGTGTTTCCTCCTTGGGTCAGGAGAGACTCCTGCGGAGCTCGAATGCATTCTCCCTCCCTATAGTCAATATCAAGTCGTTGTCCTTGCTGTGGCCGGATTGGCGTCTGCAGCGCATATTGTACTCGATTCGTATAGCAGGAATAAATAGTTGAGACTGAACGATCCCAGGGCTCTTCCTGTATACGAATAACATCAGCAAAGCAGAAATTGTCGTGGCCACGAAAGGCATAGTACATTTTGCGCGAGAACTTCAAGTTGTTCCACTGCAGAAGCACAGGTGTTCCGCCCAAAGACGGCCAGAGGTCAGCTACAAAGTGAACCTCGCATCGGAATCCAGCATCCTCAACTTGTGGCCAAACCATATAAAAATTGAGGTCATCTCTGGGTCCAATGTAGTCCCTCCACAAAGTTCTTGTTTTGGCAACGAGCACATCATCGCTCCGTTCAGTCCAAGACATATCCATTCTCCTGGCCTCCACATGCTTGGAGCGCAAACCATGAAAAATGAGAGACACCAAGGACCCTTGGCTCGTTCGGAGGATGTAGTCAAACTCATTCCAAAAGGCCTGGAATCTTGAATATCCATCCCTCGGGAAGGTGTTCCATGCCACATAGGCCGTTGTCTGCATCATGCTACTTAGGTCAGTCAAATCATCGTTTCTCCCATTCTTTGAGAAACATTGCTGGACCTGTCGTTTGGGGAAAAGAACGAAAAAAATCTCCATCTCGAGGCCAGAATTTTTGCTCTGGCAAGAGAAGGGTGCTTGGCTCTGCCATGTTTCGGGCATATAACGCCCCCCTCTGGCGCCGGACCTGTGGCTAGCACTAGACTAGCAAGATCACTGACTGTAGCTCCTGGCGTGATTTGGATGCTTGCATGTGTATACGGCATAGCATGAAGCTCGACATAGATAGTAGTAAGATGATCATCTGCAGCATTCCTGATAAGCAGCACTGGTATTGTTTCTCCTCGTAGGCCCCTCCTTGGCGTGGGGTATACAAAGAAACCTGTATACCGATGGTTTTTTTGGACATCTCCATTCCTCCAAAACCCTCGCAGTCAAATGTTGTTCTGGGGCAGCTTTGATCGAAAAGGACGTCCTCACTGGCGTACCGCTCCAATGATGCAGGTAGGTTCGCAGGGTAGCAATGGCCTCGTCACTACAGCCAAAACTATTACAGTATGCAGACCTGACCACATCGGCCTCTTGCTCGCCAGAGATACATACTGATTCAAGCCGTGATTGCTGTATCGGTCTGCGCCAAATTCCTTGTTGCATCAACCCAAACTCATCCCCTTTTTGGCCAGATATTGGCCGGGTTGCAGTGTTGTCCCGGTCATCAGAGAGCTGCTCTCGATCAGAATGGACTGGCTCGGAAAAGGTATTAGACCAGTCATCGGATCCGTCTGTCTCTTCTGACCCACTGGAACACGTTGTATTTGCACTAGATGGTGCAGGTAAAGCCTCATGTAAACGAACAAAGGCCCCTTCAAAGATCGGAAAGGGCTCAAAGAATTGATAGACCCTGATGCCTATCACTGCCCAGCATTCCGTCGTCCAAACACATTGGTTTCCTGGCAGGGTGGCAGCAAAGATCTCTGACACCTGCGGCGTCCCTCTTGATGACAGGAGAAAAGTACCAACTGTGTATTGGAAAGGCGTCCTTACCACCGCAAGGAAGCCAATCCATGAATCAACAGGTACAGGCAGCAAGAGAAACGAGGGCTTTAGCTCTGGCTCGAAATCCGGCATCGGTCGGATAGGCACGATAGTCACCGTTGGTCGTACCTGATACGTTCTCCATCTCCTTAGAATCTGGCTATGGACAAGCTCATCGCCATGAATGTCGATATCCTGGCGAATATGCGACCATGTGCCTCTTCGGTCCCATGTATGCAACCACGTGGTGACACGAATAGTACTAGCCCGGTTGAAACCAGTAACATGGCCCAATAGTGGGTCAGGCACAAAACGGATCAATGGTCTTTGCATCAAGGCTTGTTCGTCTTGTTCTTCTTCTTGGCAGTTAGAAAGAGAATGTGCAATACTACACTTCAATCCCTCTTTATCGTACCGCCTCTTCAAAGGACTATTCATATTTGGGAAGGGCCCACAAAATCCTTGAGACCAACTTGTGCAGCTCATAGGACCAAAAAGTGGACAAACAAAACTGTTGCCTCTTTCGTAGGGAAAAAGGCCGCGGTGTTCAATAAGCTCTCGGGGAAACTCAGCACAAAATCGGTGTGTTCCAGAGTGGTTGTCACCTGTAACATCATCCTCAAAAAGAGTCCCTTCGCTAGTGGCACCAAAACCTTCGTGGTGTAGGTCATCAACACCGTTGCTTTCAGGGGCTCCACAAGGTTGAGAGAGCCCATCTGCGGTCTGAAACAGTCCACAGCTCTGGTAGGCTGGGACTGGCAGAGAAGCTTCCGCGTTCCACCAATCTAGGACTGTTTGCGAAGAGGGGAGCAAAGGCGTTGCCTGAGCACACATGAGATTGCAAATCATCATGACTCCCTTCCATCGAATGGTTCTGGCACGAAAGTATTTCGTGCTGCATCGTTGCCTACCTACTCTAGTGGGTCTTTGCGGAGTCACAAGTAGGAGGCGGTGGTTACGTAGCCAAATCAAATACCTAATAGCAAAGATTAGGCAGACCTGGAAACGGAAAGCACAAATCACAGCAGCTATGGCAGACGATTCCTGCACACCCCATGGAATCATCTCAAGCACAAATCCATTCAGGACGACTGCTGTGCCTTGATATAGGATTAGCTGCCATAGCATTGTAGTGCTCGGCAGACCTGTACGACTTATATTGGCTGACCTTCGGCAGTTGCGCCCCGTAAGAATAAGGCCTGCAATTACTACTGACCAGACAAGAAAAAAGGCATTGCCTCAAGACGAAATTGGTTGCAGCCTCGGAAGACGCTAAGATCCAAGATACACTCTTAAGATCAGCTGGCAACAACACTAACCTCTCGAAAATACCAATTCTGGTGTCATGATCTCCCCAAAAGGGAAAAACCCCAACAACAAAGCTTAGGAAATGGACAAGCGGTTGAAATACATCGCGCCCAGATCCAAAAAGTGACAGCAGCTCATCTAAATCTAGAACCACTGTACATGAGACATTTCTGCACTCTCTACGGACGCTGCTGCCTTCAAAATTGGCGCAGTTAGTCGATTGCCTCTCAGGGTGGTCTACGGATCCAGATCTTCCAGGGCATTCACTTGGGTTGGCGATTTCAACCTTTCCCTGTGTCTCGACATTGGCGGAGTGCGATAAGGGGAAATACCCTCCTTGGTCTTGACCCTTGGCGCCTTCCCAAAAGGCAAAAGGGCTTTGGTGAACCTCATAGGTCGCATGGCTGGCTCGACACAAATCTCTTCTCCGCTCTCGACCTTCATCAACAGGTCGGCAAAGGCTCTCCTGGTCTTGAAGGCAGCAGGCTTTTCCTTCATATGGTGGAGAACCACCGTCTGCATCGGCTCGCTGAGGCGGCCGATCTCTGCCGTAAGCTCGTCGGCTGGAATTTCCTGCTGCATCCATTCTTCTTGTTCTGCTTCTGTTTCCTCTCTCTCTCTTTTGCCTGACCTGGATCTGTCGCTTCCACCCAAGCTCCGCTCTCGACTGTCTTCTGGGTGCTTCTCTTCCTCCTTCGTAGCAAAGGGGTGCTGCGGAGAGTCGGGGTTGTGTCCCATAAAGCCAGCTTGCATTGCTCCAAACATCATCGTCATCTGTTCTGCCATCTGCAACTGCCTTTTTTCCATTGCAGCCGCGTATGTCATGAAGCTGTTCAACTGGCTCTTGACCTCTCTCAATTCTTCGCTTTGTGCAGCATCGGATGCGTCCATGGCTGCATCCGCCTCTTTGCCACTTTGCTCTGCTTCTTTGAGCTCTGCATAGAGCTCCTTCAGCGCTGACCCATGGCGTTGCTCTTCTTGCTTGAGACCCGTCTCCATGTATCGCTTCCACGAAGCAAAGCGCTTTTCCTCTTCTGCGATGGAGGCTTTGATCTTCTCCACTCGATTGATTGTTTTTCTCTCCTGGTTCAAGAGCTTCTGGCGCTCTTTGATATCTTCTCGTGGATTCTTCTCGAGAAGGGTAGCTATCTCCGGCTCTTCGACAACCTGAGATTCTTTCCCTTCCTTGATCTTCCTCATGGCTTCCTTGAGGATCTTGTTCTCCTCTTTCAAAGCAACTTCTGCAGATGTAGCCGATGAAGAGGAGTGTGACAAGCCAGAGTGCTCTTCTTGCACTTCGATTGACTTGCCATCGTATCCCACAAAAGGGATTTTGCCTTTGTCTTTCTTGGTGTCTGCTGCCGACTTGTCCTTCTCTTTCTTTGCCTTGGGCTTCTCCCACCTTTGATAGCCTTGCCAGGCGTTCCATGACATGCTACCTGTCGTGAAGACTGGGTGCAATCGGTAGAGAGGCCTAGTATGGTGCCTCTCAAGGAGCTCTTTGTATGCCAGGAACCGAAGCCTAGCAGTAAAAGGCAGTGACGGTCTCAAAAAAGACCTGTGGAGAAAAGCTCGGGCAACAGAACGCTGTCGCCGGGCTCGCCGATGCCAAGTAGGAGAGGACGGAATTGCGGGGAGCAAAACTACCCTAAAGCGTGCTCGATTGGCACTGGGGCTACAAAAATTCTGCCTTAGCAGCTAGTTTGAGCCCTCGCCCACATAGCCCAAAAATAGCCCAAGTCAACTCGGTCGCATGTGAAAACACCCACATCGGGTCGCAGCCTCCTCGCCTCTCCTTTTGGCCTCCTCGCCTCGAAAGCCTCAAGGCCTCTCCCTGTCTTCATCTTCTCCCAATTTCTCCAAGGGGCAATCACTGGGAGATGCAAGCTTGAGGTGGTGACCAGGAGGGTGATGCAAAAGGAGATGATGGCATCCGTGAGGTTCAACATGGGCACCTCCCAGCGTCGTCGAGACTCGGTCTTCGAGAAGACCGGTAGACACCCAACTTCTCCAAGGAAAAAGAAGACCGATCCCAAACACATCACGGCTTGTGGCGTTTGGTGTTGTTTCACGGAGCAAAGAGACATCGGATGGTTTCACATGGCGATCGCAGCCAGGACATCGGATGCGATCTCCAAACACTTCGAATCATATGCTAGCTCACGGACGCTATGCCACGAATCATGTCACTTCTGAAAGGCAGTGAGTGAGTCACCACCTGCTGCGCAAAGGGGGCAAGGAGAAGAATTACGACGTTGATCAATGTTGCGAGCCGTTTGCGAGGTCGTCAAGCAAAACCCAAGCCTTCCAGGGCCATGAAAGCATCTGCATGACCTTGGTGAGGCTTGTTTGGGCACAAGATTCTGGGTGTTGGCTACCATACTTCCGAGCCAATCAGCCCACATTCACATGAGAGATCGGATTTTATCCATTGTCGTGTCCATGATTAACAACCCTTGGCCCATCCGACTTGGGTGATCCAAACCGAGCTATTTATTGCACAAAAAGCCGTCAAGGCACCATAAATCCTGCCAGCACCACCGCAATCGTGATGATCTGCACCGGGGGATAGTCTGTGGCCAAGACCACTGGCAAGGACAGCAAGGGCCCTCGACAAAGCAAGGGCACGCCAAACCACCAGGAGTCGAGCCTGCGACGCTGAAACCACACGCTTCGTGGTACCCGGTACCGTGCTGCAATCCGGGCAACCCAAATCTAGGTTCAAAACCTAGACACTGGCCGAGCCTGAAGCGGAAGACCAAGAAACGGATGCAGGCCACCAAGTGGTCACGGCGTGTCGCGCTCCAGCTGGGTACCTGAAGGAGGGCAAAAGGTATAGTACGCGTATGTACGCGTTATAATTATGGGGATATACTACATATACACATGCATTTACCCCATGAAAACGACCCACCCATGTATAAGTAACGGTTTCCCATGGATAGTCTGGGGTTCCAATCCTGCGGTTTGAGATACTTCGAGGGTGTTCTGAGAGGAAGGAAAGAAACCCAGCTTCTCCGCTAGTTCTTGACCAACCAGTCTTTGGGGAAATATAGAGGGGTCGATTTGGTATATGATTGGCCAGTAACCCATTGGGGCTATGCCTTCGAATCAACCAACCAATATAGTACAAGGCCATCTGAGTGTGTATTCAAAAAGGCTTCGACCCCGCGTCCCGAACATTGCCACCAAAGCCATCCCGGCAGGGCAGCCTGTTGGAGGCCTCCCTATAAACATCCACGTCTCCGTTGCACGGAGGGTTGGGAAAGGCCCTAACAGGCAGGTTTCAATCGGTGACCTGTGAAGTCGGTGCTGGCATATGTCAATCCCCAAGGGCACACTAATTTTGTTGATACGACTTTCCTCCAGTTGATACGACTTCAACCGAGGCCCCAGTACGGTCAAAGACAGACCCCATCGAAGTTCAAAGACCCCACTTTTTCACGTCCCAGGCCGAATCGATTCCCGACCTCCTTGCCACCGTGGCTCTTTCATCACAGCGAAGGTGCACAACGAGACGAAGCCCAGCACAAAGACCACGAGCAAGGTCCAACCAATGACCAGCATGGCCGTGTGCTCGTCAGATCCACAAATGACACCTGGGAGCTCGGCAGATCCAACCATCTTCCCCGCCTTCCCCCGCCAAAGGACCTTCACCCGCAGGGAAAATCGAACATCATCGAATCAGCAAAACCAGGACACCTGGATACTTCAGAATGCTTCGCAAACCATTGGGGTGCCGATAGCACATCATCGGTGCCAAGGACGTCGCTGACATGGTACCTAGGACGCACGACACCAACGACCCTGGTGTTTGAAACAGGATATATAACATGATATAACATGAATCAAAATGATGTTGTTCCACCTGGCGGTGCGTTGGTTAGATCCAACAAATTCAGAAGAGATACTGAAACCGACCTGTAGGAAGGCTCCCATGCTACTTGTCACTTTGGATCCATCCCACTTCAGCCGCGATGGAAGAAGGCGAGAAATAGAATAGCACATGGCCAACCAGGCCACACCCACCGGGAAGATCAATGCGCTGAGAAGGTAGCGGATGGGTGCGACTTGGCCTGATGCAGCGACGACTCGGCCAACCAGGCCTGCTTTGGTGTAGCCACTCCGAATGAAACAACACTGTTCATGTCAAGTAGAGCTAAACACTGGGACCTCAAAGCAGCGTCATATATCACAGCAGAACACGTTGAGCAGAACTACGATCTGTCGAACATGATCTCTCATTATTCAACTTTAACGCCTGCGATGCAGACGAAGCCATAACTGTCGATGTCCAGGAGGAGAAATTGGCAGATGCTAAAGATGCCAGTCAGATCTGCGGGCCAATCAACGGTCATCATGCCAATCAGCCCGAGGTTCTGCATCGACATCACCAGCATGCCAAAGGAAGCGGTGGTGGCAAATAAGACCGTGGCTTTGGCTGTCACTTTGCTCGATGTTAGGTAATATGCCAAAGTAAGGAAGGCAAAAATGCAAAGAACTGCCAAGACCTTGCACAGGCACACATACATGCTGAGATCAAAAGGCTCAAAGGACCTTGCACCGACTCACTGCTAAATGGACACATCTACTGCCACATCTCTTTTTTTCTGCTTCACCTCAACATGTCTCTGGCATCCTACTTCAAAAGGAATTTCCAAGGCCTTCAGAATCAACTTTACCATACATATACCAATTGAAACCACCAAATTATTGCAAGTCTTGAAGATTCTTGAAGCATCTGACTCCGGCAATGAGCCCTGACAGACTCACATTCGCAAACGTTTCTAGCTTCAGATTGGCACGGAAGTCGACTCGTGACTCTGAATGGGTTTTTGGATGATAGCTTCGTAAGGAACCAAAGAAAACACGACGGAAGGAACAAATTTGTGGTGTAGACGTCTTGATATCAATTCATAACCCCCCAGTTGGATCATAAAACCTTTTCACTACTTACTTCATACCATATACATCTCCAGAAAACTTAGCTGACTGATGAGTACCTTTAACGGTGCCGTGCTCCGATTTCCTCCGCCAGGTGACCCACAACGCTTGGCGCCAGCCCTCGCAGTCGGCGCAGTCGCTGCCAGTCCAGGTCTGACCTGCTCCCAGTGGCGCTCCGTCTGAGTCTGTCGGATTTCTGCTGTGGGTCGGTGCTAGGTGACCTGTGAGATGGGAAGACAGAGACCCTGGTAGACCCCAGAGTAAGGGTTCAAAGCAGAACATAGCAGAACCCAGTTCCTGGAGTTGTGTACCCACTTAGAAGTGTGCCTCCCAGATGAAGCTTCTTACCGCAAATGCTTGCAAACCCCTTGGGAACGGCAAGACGCACATGTTCCAGCTGGACCGTTTCTTGGGCCAGCGTGATCCAGCGGACTTACCACTAACACATGTGGACACCTACCTACCTCCAAATGCTGTTTTTTTGCACATGGATGCACATGCCCTAGGGCTCCAAGTACCTCCTCAGAAGGTGTTTGAACCCTCCAAACCCACCCCAAACACCTTCTCAGAAGGTACTTGGAGCCCTAGGGCATGTGTTTCGCACCTAGATCACGGCCCGAGACGCGACGGTTCCCACACCTTCCTTGCATTGGTCACAGGGCGTGCCAATGAGCCCACCGCCGCAGGAGTTCGGCATCCCCCCAGGGCAGGACACCAGGCTGCTGCAGCGGTAGATCTGAGGCGAAGGACGGCAGGGCGAGTTTCCGATGGACCTTCCAAGAGAGGTTGAACAGCCTTCTGTCGCCCATATGTACCACAGACCAGGGTTCAAACGTTCAGGTCTCTCAACCTCTCTTGGTTACGACCTGCAAAAAGAATCCTTTTTTGGGCGCCCAAAAGGACGCCCTCTGAGCCTCTGCATGCTTACTATCTGTTCTGCTTCATTTAAATCTAGGATGCCTTAGTTATGATGTTTCCGCTAGAAAAGGGTCGAAAAGAACCTAAGACACCGCGCGAGAAATGCATCCTGCCGCGCTATTCCATGCCCGTCCATGCCTCTGTGGGTGCCTCACCAGTACTGAAGTAGCCTTCTTGAATTTGTGGGGTGAACTCTGCCCCCAGCTCGCTGGCGCCACTTTGCAAGTCAGCCTGGGTCAATCAAGCACAAAAACTTGCGAGCATTGGACAATTTTGCATCAAAGACGTGGGTTCCAGGACACAACCTCTCATTTTCTCATGTCTATTTTCTCGAGTTGAATTGACTACAGTGATATTGAGATCTGTGGGTAGTGATACATGTTCAAGACTCCATTCTTCGTCCATTCTTCGACCTAGTCCTGTGGCTTCCCGGTTGGGACCGAAGTGTTGAAGCAAGTCGAAACGACGATCCATAGGCAGTCCTATGACAGGCGGTTTTGGGTGGTTTTCATGTATAGGTCGTATGCACTGTCCCATGGATCAGGAATGGGAGTGGGAACTGACAGCGATGCGCTTTGCAAATCTTTGCAATATTCCTTCTCAACGGTTGCTGGAAAAAAAAAGCTTCTTGAGCATGCTGTCCACGTCGACTCCATATATATGTTCTTCAAGGTGCGTTTTTCGCGGGACCATGTCAACATCCACCAATTGATCACTTGAGAGCTTTTCCAGGCCACTTCCAACAGGCATTGAGCTGTCCATGAATTTCCGTACGGAAGACCCTTCAGTCTTCAGACCATCCATGTATGGAAGAATTACGTACTATTTTATTGACCCCATGAAAATGACCCGAATATAACCTAATGTAGGCAGGTAACTGTTCCATACATGGAGCGGTTTCCGGTTTCCAAATAGAACCATTTTCCATTTTGTGACAGGCCACCAACTTGGACAGTTTTGGGCATGTCAGACCTTCGCTGCAGGGCTGGCACTGGAAGCCTCCTGACTGGCACGGTCGGAAGCAAGCTAAGTGGGGCAACTGGGGCAAACTGACGCCTGATATCCAGAATCTGTACACTTAATTATAGGCTTATATGTATATAATCAGATTTTGTTCGATGTAGCATTTCATAGAAATATAATTGAATTGCTCGCCCTTATTACACTACATTGATTGCACAGCAGCTGCTTGATCATACCCGTTGGTAGGCAAAAAGGGTGGCATTACCACAGCGCTTTAGAACCCCCGCAGCGTTTTTGGACACGTTGGGCAAGGTCTCATGACCAAAAATTGAGACAAACCATGAGCCCGCACTAACATGGAAATGGACAATCACCTGTTTGTAGAGGATTGCATGGTCTTCACAGGGGTATTAATATGTTTAATATGAAGGCGTTGTGAATTGAAATCCCAGTTTTGGTGATCATGATTTCCGTGCAAGTCATATAATCACAACAAATGTGGGTCAAGAATCCTTGTTCCCATGAACCCTGACCCCGATACCTAGCAGCTTAGCATCTGGGTGCCTCGCTTGAGACTATATAAATCAAATCTGTTGCATAAAATTGTAAGTCAAACTCCGAATTCATGCTGCGTACCTGCCAAGTTCATGTTGATGTAGTTCTGACGGCAGCCGCAATCATTCTCTCCAACCGATCCTCATTTCTCAACGAACATCGGTCACCGAAGTGGGGTCTTTGAGCTTCCACAAGCAACAAAACTCTGCAATGAGCAGTGGCGACAACCTCGAATGCTGTACTTCTTCCCGGGCCATGGGACGGCAGTCCTATGGCCTACATGACTGGTGGTTTGGGATGGTGTTCATGTATAGGTCATATGTACTGTCCCCTGGATCGTTTGGGGGTACAGTAGGGTTTTGGGAGCTTCGTTCGCCGCTGTGCATGCATTCGTTCGCTGCTGTGCAAGCATTTGTAAGCCGGTGTGTACATCGACACAATTGCTGGGCTGGGCAGCCGATATCTTTTTGTGTGGGTGATTTGTGGCCAGTGGCTGAGTGACTCACTCAAAATCCATGTATGCAATAATTACATAATGTTACATGTTACATCAGGTTACTCAGTTATACTCCACATATGAACCTAATGTAGAGAACTATTATGAACTATTCCATACATGGAGTGACTCAGACTCACTCAGATATTATTGTGTGAAACTGAACCGTGGATTTGATGCAGTACGAGTGCGTCCAAGCTTGCAACCACAGTCACACGACATCCTTCGAGCAAACAACTGTGTTTTTTCCAGGAATGTTTGTACCATTCCAGTTACTATCCCTAAGCATCCACATACCTTCTCTGAAGATGAATCGGTAAATTTGAGGTGGAGGGTCCGTCTGAGAAAGTCTAGGAATTTGAGTATAGAACTGAGAAGGTCTGCAGATTGCAGTCTGATGACCCGCAGTCGGCAGTTTGGTGGCAGTTGGGTGGTCTCCCACGTCGTTTCCGCTGTCATCCCCCTTGCTCTGCCGCTCTGCTCGGCGGATAAGCAGTTTGGGATCCAAGAGGCCCAAACCCATGGTGGTTGTCGAAGCAGGGCACATCGTGCAAAATGTTCCGCCAAATTCGTCCTAGTTCGTTGGAATGAAATGCTCAGATCATTCGGTGGGATGTGGGGAAACAGCTGGGGATATGATGGCGTCACATCCATTTGGAACCGTGTTTTGAAGGACGGCCGCTGTAGTTGCAATGCAAGAGCCACTATCCCTGATGGAGCTACGGAAGCTTGAAGCACTTGTTTCAGCCGCATTGTTCAGCTCAGCGAGCGAAGCTGTGGTTGGATGTGATCTGGTGTGACACAAATTTGCAAAGTCGTTTGTTCTATTCTTCTTGCTTTGCTCTATTTCTCTCTGCTTCTCTGTACTCTGCTGTCTCTCCACTTTCCTTAAGTTGCTACAATTCCAAACTGCTTTTGGTAGAGCTGAAACGGGTTGATAGTTATATAACATTTTTTATCGTAATTAAGACATTTTTGTTTCCCTCACCACCCTTCAAGCCCTTCAGCCCCAACTCCAGCATCTCATAAGGATGCCCATTGGACAACTTTGGCAACATCGAAGCAATCAGGGATCTCTCAAGTCTCGTCAGCGGAGAAAGTGGATACAAAAGAATATGTTACTTCGAGTGACCCCCACCATGACGCTTCGATCATTTGTTCTCATGCCATGGTGAGGAGCATGTTGCCATGGTCGTGGGGGTCTTGGATCTTGGTATTTCTTAATGTTAGGGAGTTCGCGTCGGAGCGTCGCCAGGGTCTTCAGTTGGCATCCAAAGTGCTACCCTGTGACCACGTGCCACGCAAAGTGCCACACACACAGGTAATTATATGTGTGGTTGTGTTTGTGTGATTGTGTGTTTGTGGCTGTGCTTGTGATTGTGTTCTCGTGATTTGTCGGTTTGTGGTTGTGTGTTTGGGGCTGTGTTTGGTTGGTCGTGTTTGTGGTTAAGTTATGTTTGTGGTTGTGTGTTGCTGGCTGTGTGTTGTGTGTTGAGGCCCGAGACTGCCCACTGCAACCTGGCACTGGCGGTTGAGGTCCGCTATATGGCCCACTGCGATCTGGCACTTGCTGTTGAGGTCCGGTATAGTGCTCACTGCGATCTGGCACTTGCTATTGAGTTGCGGTAGTGCTCACTGCGATCTGGCGCTTGGTGTTGAGGTCCGACACTGCCCACTGGGATCTGGCGCTTGCTGTTGAGGTGGCCCGTTCGAGGAGGAGGAGGAGGAGGAGGAGGAAGAGAAGAGCTCTGATAAAGTCCAACAACCCTCAGTTGCCCATAGTTGCCCAAATGGGATGCAAGCTCATTCATACCTGGACGATCGTCCTTTTTTTGGCGTGTCCGGCCTTGGGCACGGTCACGCTACGTGCCAAAAGACTGATCTGTGCATGTCACATCATCTGCTCCAGTCCATGTGAGTGAGTCTATCATGGGGAGCACAAGCGAGTTCGACCGCGAAGAAACACACCATCACCGTGTGGAGAACATGTAAATAGTACCTCGAGGAGAACATGTAACAGCATGATGTCATGCTATTTCATGCAGGGAGGGCAAAGGCACAGCCGCAGCAGCCTCAGCAACGGTCTCTTCGATTCGTCATGTTCACTGAAGGACAGCAAAGATTATGCTTGCAGCGTCACGGAAAGGGTAAGCCCATGTAAGCCCCTATTCCCCAACGAAAAGGGCCTTTATCAGTGTCCCCCTAATCACTTCTAGTCTAAGGGGGCTATTAGGGTGATCTGCCTATCCCGATATGGGTTGCATCTATTCCGAGTCTGCTCGCCAAAACCCCCGGCCGACCGGATCCCAGCATCCGTTTGGTGAGGTCTCCTGACTCTGGCGACGCGACGACCTCGTCGACGGCGCAGCGGACCTCTCCTGGTACTTTCCGATGTCACACCGCTTGCAGGCGCTCTGACCCATCTCGTCCTGGTACTCTCCTAGCAAACACGGAAGTATCCGTTCCGTGCAGAACGCCTGAGACCATTCCGCAGGAGCTTTATAGGCTGGAAAGTTGCAAGGGGTTGACAGAGAAGTGCTATGATTGGACTGGAAGTTGGGACACTCTATCAAATGATCTACCATGTGTGTTCTCCTTCTCTTCAACCTTTCGAAGCCACTTCTTCTTTTCGTTGCGGCTGACGCGAACCTCCCAACTCCCCGATCGAGACCTGGTTTGCAACGGTGGCAGAAGGTTGCGGCACCAGAGGGCTGGCTGGTCCCCACACCACATGGCACACACCTGGGATGCAGGGCGGCATCGCTTTGGGTGCGCCAGGGAACCCAGGGAACATAGGGAAAGACCTTGAAACAGCATTCTACTTGGATCTTCGAAACTACACAACGAAACAGAACAACTGCCTGTTCAGAACAACAAATAATGATGCTGTTACGACATGTTACGGCATCGTTTCCTAAATAAAGTGTTTTTGGCTGTAGATACTTCTGACTTGATTGTAAGATATGTATCTTCTTGACGCACTGCCAGGACGCACATAGGTGTCGCCGATGGAATCCGTCATCGCCATGGAATACGTGCCCGAGGGGCAAGCCTACGGAGACGGGCTATGATGCCGAAGCTGATGCCAACTGGGGGGTCGTTCTGTTTCATGATGGGACGTGTGAGAACATGAATGACCCGTCACTGGCACAATGTGATTTTCTGAATGACCCATCATGAAAAATGAAGGACCATGCGCTTCAGATGAATGACACAAGCTGAATGGCCCATCTGATCTTCGGGGGGAGATTCGTTTCGTTTCATCTTTTCGTTGGATCTTTGGTTCGTGTGGAGGACAGCCGGGCTGTTCGACAGGGGACGCCGCACTGTTTCCGGATGGCTCCGGAAAAAAAAAAAAGCAAAACGCCGGCAGACTGGTGATAGCTGATGCAAATACAACTTATGCAACATGCGTTCGAACTTGACATCTTCGTGACCTAAGAAACCTGCCCGTAGAATGACAGCAAGAAACCTGCATGCAGGCATGAAAACAGAATAGCAACGAGCAAATCGAGACCAAAAGCACGCTCATTGAAACATTTTTCATGCATGCACCACTGGATACCTTTCCATGATTGCGTGGATGAACCATCTATCCAACACACCATGTATGGACTTGCCGCATACCATACATGGAGTCTCATGGCATTGAGTGCATACAAAAGATTAACCCAAGGTACTGTACGGGATCACTCAGACACGCGTCGCCAGCCCATCCCAAAGCCCGCGTCACGCGTTCTCGCGCGGTGCGTGGCGGGGTGGGTTTCCCGGCCTGGCACACGATCTTGTTCGTGGCGTTCACACGTTGCCCGACGTAGTCCTGCGCCAGGGAATCGTAGAGCCCGAAGCCCGGGAAGCACTGACTCTCATCCGGGATCCAAGAGCGCCAAAGAGCCTCGTTGGAGCGAAGCCAACGGCAGGTGGCATTGCGCCAGGAATCACCCGTGTTCTTTTGATCCAAGAGAATCAGGTCCATTTGCTTCATAGGGATGATGATGTTGCTAACAAAGCTCTCCACATTTGGAGCCAAAATGCTCAAGTCTCTGCTGACCAACTTGTCAATGGAAGTTGCACTGGGTCCACTGCTCTGATCACCGATGCTCCAACCTCTCTGATCGTATGGGGGCCAGACCTGTGAAATGGGCTGCAGTTCAAGAAAGGTGGGATCCGGCACCCACCAATAAAAATAGGATTTGGGATGCACGAATGGATACCCCGTGTATTCGCGCCACGATCGAGCGACGGCGAGGGCCAAAGGGATGTTGTGGATGGTGGACTTCTGCATCATTTCCTCGATGCTCCAGCCAGAACCTCCTGTCACCCAGGGGATGCACTTGCTGGTATTTCCTCGACAAGTTGGACTAATCCAGTAGTATCCACCATGGCACTTCACAGAGTATGTATTTGTAGCCGCATCGAAGTCAACCCCATCTGCATCACCTGTGAACTGCACGTGCCGTCTGGCAGTGGGATCATCTTGGAAGACTGTCTGGGTGCACGGCGCCAGCAAGGCAGAGGCGTTGATCATTTCCATCGAATCAAAATACTTGGAGGGATCATACCACGAAGCATTCCAATTCTTGTAGTATTGCAAAGCCAAACCCTCCGTGGTGTATGCTGCCTCTTGGACAGGCTTGGGCAAAAAGCTGGAGGCAAGTCCGTCATATCCCATGTTCCCCAAGTTCTTGGGTGCAATGCTTGGATAGTCTCGCTGAATGCCTTGCCAAACCAAAGGGTAGCCATCCTTCCAGCACTCCATGTGAACGTGGTATCTCGTGGCCTCAGGTTCACTCAAAAGATCCCAACATGTTTTTGAGCCAGATCTGTGCCTTTGCGGGGTTAAAAATCACACACTTCAGAAAGGAGTTCGGAAGAGCAGAAGATCAAAATTTCGCGGAGATCATTCGCGCTTTATTCTTACTGCAAATTAGACCTTGGCTGGTGAACCGAAAGGTGAATGAGGCAAAAACAGTATTGTTTTAACATGGGTGAGCCGAGAAGGTGAGCTTTAAAATAGTTCCAAAGAACAGGTACGTAGCTCTGGCGTCCCAGAACTATATCACAGTGCAACAGATGCGTCTTCGTTGGCAAGAGACCTAGTTGCAACCTATATAACAAGTCTCTAGAAAAAGAAAAACAAGCAGAGAAGAGATCACATCTGAAAGGAGAGGACTGCAAAAAAATTGAATTATGACCTACTGGTAACAAGCCTCTGCAAAGAGAGAGGCAGAGAAAAAAAACGCATCTGGGAGAAGAGAAAAAAACTGAAAAAAACTGTGCGTCTTCCGAGCAGTAGTGCCGAATGGACGGCAAATCAATTCAGATCGACTGAAAGCATTGTTCGACACAAGGACGCCTTGTTCGGCGCAACCTCAGTTACACCTAACAAACCTCTAGGAAGAGAGAAAGCAAGAAGAAGAGAGAAACACATCAGGAAGGAGAGAAAAATGACTCCTGAAAATTGTGTCTTCCGAGCAAGTGTGTCACATGAACGGCAAATTAATCGGAGATCCAGAAAGATCCGTCTGGAACTGTGTCTGATGAAATTTGACACAAAGAAACCGATTTCGGCGCAACCTGAGTTACACCTACAAAGCCTCTGGGAAAAGAGAAAGAACAGAGAAGAGAGAAGAAAAACGCATCTGGAAGGAGAGGAAAAATGACTGCAAAAAAAACTGAACTACGACCTATAGCAAACCTCTGGGAAAAGAAAAACAAAGAAAAGAAACGCATCTGGAAGGAGAACAAATGACTGCGAAAAGGTCAGCTCCGACCTAACAAGCATCTAGAAAGAGAAAAAAACTGAGAAGAGAACGCATCTGGGAAGGAGAGATAATTTGACTGCAAAAAGTTAAGTGTATTCCGGTTTCAAAGCTAGGTGTGTTCGGACTAAAAATTGAAACATGAAAATTCCGGGTGAGACGAATTCAGCAGAGAAGTAACAGTAGCTCGGCAAAAAAAATTGAGGCTCGAACGGTGAGACACATTCAAAGGTTTGACTCAAATGAGAGATTCTGCGTCATAAGTTGGTCCACAAAGGACATTCAGGGAATTCTCTCCTATGTAAGAGTAAGGACTCAGTAACGGCACCCCTGCGGCAATCACAGAGCTTACCACAGTGGGAAGAATCTGCGATACACACTTCAGAAAGGAGCTCGGAAGAGCAGAAATTCAGAATTTTGCGGAGATTGGCGCTTTATTCTGCCTGGTGAACGGAAAGGTGAATGAGTCCGCAAAAAAAGTATTGTTTTAACATGGGTGAGACGAGAAGCAGAGCTTTAAATAATTCCAAAAAGCAGGTGCGTAGCTCTCGCATCCTAGAGCTATATCACAGTGCAACAGACGCGTCTTCGTTGGCTGGAGACATCTGAAGCACACTCCAGCCCCCCTGCTGCTGGTGAGCACTGTGCAAAGGTGGGTGGAAATCAGTAAGTAGAGAAAGGTAGTCTCCCTATAGAGACGGGTGTTGACACACACTGTAAGCGTGAGCCAGTGACATTGACATGCAGGAAATATACACATTAGATATATATATACATTAGCGCAACTTACCATACCTCATGAGCCAAGTCCAGAAACGACCTGAGGGATGGCGCCTCACTTGCGCACGCAAGATTCGCTCACCTGTACACACAGCCTTTTTTGATAAAAGTAACTCACCTGCGCACACAGGATTCGCTCACCTGTGTACACACAACTTGAGTTGATGTGATGTGTACATGATATGTCGTTGGGTCATGGTCTCCACACAGATGCTCATTCTCTGATGAAGTTCACACTTGTTGTTGGGGTCAGGTGCGTTTGGGAATGGGCGGTAGGGGTGCGGGGGTGGTGTGCGGAGGTGGGTCGGGTGTTAATAACGTCCCTCTGGACATTCTTCTACATGATGATATCTTTTTGCTATTGACTTCCACAGCACCATGTAACACTGCGTTTGATTTATGTTGTTGGGGGGTGACACGAAGTTCGTTCACTCACTCATTCATTCATATCATTCATGAATGCGTTCCTTGATTCATTCATTCACTCACTCGTTCATTCGTTTCATTTCATTTCATTTCAGTTTCATTTTCCTTTTCTTTCATTTCATTTCGTTCATTCATTCACAAAATCCTTCATCGCCACTTCGCTATTCCTTCATTCCTTCACTCCTTCCTTCCCTCATTCATTCATTCATTCATTCAATCATTCATTTATTCATTCATCCTTGCGTGCATGCATTCATTCCTTCATTCCTTCATGCATGCATTCATGGAATCATGCCATCATTAATTCGTTCATTCGTTCGTTCAACCATGTCATTCATTCATTCATTCGTTCGTTCGTTCATTCGTTCGTTCATTCATTCATTGATTCATTCAGTCAGTCAATCATTCATTCATTCGTTCACTCACTCATTCTTTCATTTCATTTCATTTCATTTCACTTCACTTCACTTCACTTCATTTCATTTCGTTCATTCATTCATTCATTCATTCATTCATACAGCCGAGCAACTCGGAGTGCACAACCGAGCAGCGCGTGCACAACCGAGCAAATCCATAAGCGTGCACAGGCGAGCAAATTCCGCGTGCACAGCCGAGGCTCCGCCCCGACCTGAGCGTGTCCAGGCCGAGAAGAACATTGTTTTGGCGTCCCAAACCTCGAGTTGATTTTCTTTTAACTTTTAACCCTGGACGATCAGTCCCAGTATCACCAAGGCTTAGAGCGTTGGTCCATCGGTAGAGTGTCTGCATTGCTACCACCCCGTGCGAGCGCAAAAAGGTAGAAACAAATAATGAAAGAAAAAGCGCGAGAGAGAGTGAGAGAGAGAGAGTGAGAGAGCGAGAGTGAGAGAGCGAGAGAGATCCCCGTAGAGAGGGGACACACAAACACACACACACACACAAATGCTGTGCAAAGTCAGGTTTCTAGGCTATTTGTTTTCAACCGTTTTGTTGTGTGTCTTCCAAAACCAGGCTGAAAAAGACTTGAAATTAGCTGATGGGTTCCACCATGATTCCACCATAGGTGCAATGAAGAGATGCACACCGACACTGGGCCACCTCTTGGGACCCCAACAGACTCCGCACCTCTGAAGGCAACGAGTGACCCGACCTGCACCCAGCACCCCGGCATACCCCGGCCGTCAAAACACGTTCCTCCTGACCTAGAAGCTGAGTGTCCTCTGAAATAGGGAGCCAAAAGCAACCCGTCTCAGACTTCAGATCATGATCCGCTTCCGTTTCGATGATCTCCCTGTCGTCTAAGAAACAATGCTGCAAACGTCTGACACGACCTGGAGTGTCAGACGTAGCATGGAAATTGTATTAGATAAACTCTCCCATCACCTCTTCATATGGGGTGGTTTATTGATCCAGAGTTTTAAAAACAGGTCAATAAGTCCAGCTTTCACCATGGCACATTTGGGCCACCACAGCCACGGGTGGTCTCGTCGTAGGCATTGGGGTCTGCACAGCCCAGAATGGCGTACATGCCACTGACTGTACCAGGGCCCAGGCCGCTCTCCGTGTCAGTCTTGAAGCCGAAGACCTCCTGGAGAGTCGAAGACGAACTCCCATTTGGACCACCACATCCCACTCCTAGAAGAGGATGGGTGGGACATCACTTCTACCATAGGGGTCATGTATACATTAACCGGGTCTGTCACTGCTTGTCATGCCCTCGCATCATCGCTAAAGAATGCTAAAGAAGATGTGATGTGCGATGTAGGAATTCGCTGGACGGTCGTTGGTGATTGCGAGCCCGAAAGTGGTAGTGCTGGGCAAAACAACTTGTCCAACTCAGTGGCTAAAGCCTTTAAAAGCATGCAAAGTTCAAAAGCACTGGCTCTGAAGACCTCCTTTGCGCAATTTTGCCGAATTTGATTCGATTTTGAAAAGGGAGGTGCAGTCAGAGAGTCTTTTGACAGCAGACTACAAGTCTCCCGGCTCTCAGGGACTTTGCTCCAAAGTGTCAAGGTCAAAAGGGTTACGGTTTATGGCCCTATGGCAGTTTCACAGTAGTCTCCACCGGTGCTTTCCTATTTCCCCAAGAGGTCCCGAGGGAAGCAGGTGTGCCATGTTACTGAGCACCAACTTTGAGACCCGTGCTCTATGGTAAATTTCCCCGGAGTAGTAAGTGTCCATTTCTGAAAGCAACTATGCAAAGACTGAATACTGGGCCTTCCAAACAAGCAAGCCCAGGGGCCCAATCATGCAGAACTGTCGCCAGGAAAAACAGGCAGGCAACAGCGATCACTGAATCACTTTGCCAAACCCGGACAGTCCATGGGGACTGACCGATTTATATATAGATTTGTGTGGTTTCAGGGGTCAATGTACGCAAATGTTCCATACAGGTTGTGTGAACGGGCCTTGTCGTGAAAGAATTATGCAGCTGATTCGGCTAGAAAAAAGTGATATGCCCCTGGTACAATGGACACTACAATGAAAAACAAATCTATCAGGCCAAAACCAAAGATGCTTCCAGAGTTTTTTGATTTGGGCAGTCTATAAGCAAACAAACATATGTTGTTTTGTTTCTTGGTTTGGGTCTAAGTTCGAATCACTATTGCCACAGCAGCGAAAGCTTTTGATCATTCCCAGAAATCTAGAGGAAAGCATTTGAAATGAAAACTGTTATTTAAAGCTTTAATATAGAAGTGATCATTCCCAGAGATGTAGAGGCACCCTATTGAACTGTAAACTTTATATAAAGCTGGGGAATATAGAAGTGATGATTCCCAAAGATCTAGGGCGACACGATTGAAATGAAGCTTTTACATAAAGCTCTTTAATATAGAAGTTATCCTTCCAAGAGGTCTATAGGAAAGCTTTTGAAATGAAAGGCTTTACTTCCCAGAGATCTATATAGAGGAAAGCTTTTGAAATGACAGCTAGCTATATATAAAGGATCCTATATTGGCAATTCAATTGTTCCAAAGATACCTACTTTCAGAGAACATTGACATTGGGCATAAAGGTATAGGTTGACCTAGAGAAACACATGTTGTTTCTTATCTGGAGAAATCTACTTTCCCAGAGATCCAGAGGAAAGCTTTGAAATACAAGTTCTTTGTTGTCTTCGGGGTTTGTATAGGGGGGGCTGAGCATAAATATACAGTATAGTATTACAATTAATACAATAATATAATATAGATAGATGTAGTATTATACATAATATAGGTGTATATTATAGATATTTCACTTATATATATATATTGTATGTATATATATATATACACATACACCGAAACCAAGAACGGGTCAAACCAAGCAAGTCTTGGAACCAAGCAAATCATCATACTGTAATAGATGGAACGAGCTACACCATTCTGATCAAATTGTCAAGAGGGGCTCGCAACGTACTTGAAACCTTATGGATAAAACAAGATCCTTTGAGAAGGTAAATATATATATATATAAGCTGGTGAAACCCTAACCCTACCTGTATGTATTTGTAGATACCTTCTCAGAAGGTACACACAATACCTGGCTCTGAAAAATCAGCCTAGAGGCCTAGAGCCGGAGCCCTTTTTCAGCAAAAGACACCGTTACAGGAACATGGTTCGTTCGGGTTGCAAAGAAGTGCTCAAGATCCACGCTGACAACAATTGCTGGAAGCTCCACCTCGTCACAACACAAGACACCATCTTTGGGAAGAAAGCGGTGTCATCTTTTGTTCTGGGAATTTAAGACAAGTATAGACCAAAAAGGTGCTGATTCGAAGGTCCAGGTCTTAGATGTGTGTGTATATGTATATATATATATGATCATCCCCCGAAATCGAGGGACCACCCTTTCATGACAATCGACACTATCTAACTCAATGAACGCGGACGACGGATGGCCCGAGAGCGTGGAACATCTATGCCTCTTGAGGGTGTGTGTGTCTGTGTGTTTGTTGTGTGTTTTCGTATGCTTCTGGTTTGGGGTTTTCCCGCTCCTCAATCAAGGTTGCCACAAGTGCATTCCCTGCGAGGTTTGCTGCATAGTTGGCAAACCAAATGCCAAGAGGATATGACTCGCCATTGGCATTCTCCTGACACGAACTCTGCACAGTTCCACAGAGAACTAGCCTCCAATGCTGCATGCACAGACATGGTCTCCAAGAGGATCTGTCGGGCTTCATTGGGGTTCCCGAACAAGCTGACCAAGTAGTTTTTCTCTGGGTGGTCGAGTTCTTGGAACACTGGCACCACCAATATGGGTGTGTCGTCGGGTCAGAGCCCCACATTACCTGGCTAGGTAGAAGCAGGGTCTGTTTCTTTCCCGAAAACTGGTCGGCACGGCTGGGAGGTCTTCCGCTTTCAAACACACCCAGACACGACCAGTCTGGGACTGGCATAGTAAAACCGCCCCGGGGTGGTGCCATGCCGGGGTCAACTGATCGGCATATATGACAGACATGGAGTGTATGGGTTTAAAGTTGCATCAAACATCACGTCTGCGGAACTTCCTATCGAAAGTAGAGCAAGGCAATGCAAGGCATGTTGTTCTCTTGCTGTTATTGTTGTGCTGTGTTTTGCATTGGAACTGATCCCATAGTACATCGCCTCAATTGAAAGTGGCTTAGAGGTTAATTGAGGAGTATTGCGACCCCCGCCCACACCCACACACACACACACACTGCGGGTCATGGTATCATTATATGCATAAATTTATGCATAATAAATCATAATAATATATACTGCATACAAACAACAGTTGTAGAGCCTATTGACTCGCCTGATGGTACATTCAAACACTGGAACCTATGCTGTCGTCACCTCCTTCGACCGTGTGTGACAGAAGGGCCATGATTGGACACCCCAGTGGTGGATGTGCTTCGAGGCATGCTGCCATGCTGCCAGGTTCTTCCAGTCTTCTGGCGGAATCGCATCATCCAAGCAGGTCGTTGCCGCGACTGCGACCACCAGTCCAAGGCCTCGGGTGCAGCGAACCGCCGGAGTCGGAGTCACGTGCCATGTGCCAACTCAGCCAACTCCTCTGCTGGCCGAGAGTCACAGCTTCGCACCGCGCACACGCATGGCACCAAAAGGACGAGGCGTTGGCGTTAAAAATCGTTGGCCAAAAACCTGGGGCCAAATGCTGCTGTTGCTCCGGTCGCCGAGTACCGCGCACCGCATCTCGAACACCGTTCACTCCGGTCGCCGCCGTGCACACGCGAGTCGTTGAGGCGAGCGCCCCCCTTGCCTTTTCGTCCCCTTTCGTGTCAAACCACCCAAAAACCCGGTGTTCGCGGTGCCGGAGTTTTGGGATAGAAAGACGCTTGGAGTGGATCCAAATGGCGAAGATTCTCTCGAACCCACATGACATCGCCATGTTGCCGTAGTTGCTCGAACCTCTGGCTTTATATCATTTGTCCCGATCACATGTTGAGTGCACGGAGAAGTGGCTAGCACCTGCAGTTCAGCAAGCCCAGGCCCCGCGCAGCCCGGGCCCGCTCCACGAACTCGTCAAGCCCTTTGGCTTCGTCTTACCGCCGCCCCAAGGATCGACCTCACCCACTTGTTGCATTCATCGTCACGCGGATGGCTGGGTGAGACACATATGCACACGAGACAGGTCTCGCCCGGAGACAGAAGCCGTGATGTTCGCAAGACGCCACTGGTTCCAAAAGGGCTGATGACTGGAGATGGATGGAAAGGCTCTGTACTGGATGGGTACAAAAGCACCATCAACAGGGTTGGAACTCCTGTCACTGGAGAATTGTAGACAGTTGAGTAACTAGAGTATAATCAACCCCCCCTATAGTCTCCTATATGTTTGAAAAGGTTTTCCATGGTTTTCCAATCCGGGGCGGGTTGTCAATCAACAGTCTAGTAGGTTCAATTGCTTCACAATGTCACAAGCTTGGCTTGCTGCCTCCATGGACTCCAGTCCGATCACTCTCGTCGGCGGGCGACCTGAACAAGCACACGACGGGGTGACCTCCACATGCTGAGAGCAAACACCCCAGCCATTTCGCTGGAAACAGGTAAAAAAAACAACAAATCCATACGTAGTCCATCAGCCACCAGCCTACAATCCTGATGGAAGCTACGCTCCTACAACCCTGAAGCCGTCTGTAGAACACACCCCTGGAACATGGAATGTGGATGGCGCCTCGTAACGGAAGACCAGTGTATTTCGCAACACTTATTTTGTAAACGCTCTTGTCAAACAGTACATCATGATGCAACCAAATACCTGACAGTTGTCGCGCCATACTCACTTCCTGTTCTTTCTTTGTGGCATGGAGTAGCAACACATTCTGCCCATCCCATGTTTAATAGCATCAAATCATATCTTCAACTGCAAAAACATGAGTCCGTGACTGCTTTGCCCTGAGTCCCAATGCTTTCCAGAATATGAGCCAATTTCAAAAGCCTTCACGTGCATCCTATGGCGTGAAACAACAAACACTGCATTGTGTAAGAATGTTTGACTGATTGACCACAGGGTATCAACTAAATGTATCAGTGGAAAGAAAGGGTCTTTGGTCCAGTCAATGCAGAACCGAGTCTTAGAAAATGAAACCACCTGTGGTGCCCTGCTCTAGGAACCTGCTCTGGTTTCGATGGGCTGGACGTCGAAACGGGCGGACACCCCACCGAAGATGGTCCTTGCACCCACCCAGAATTGGAAGGAAGAAATGGATGTTGTTGGTGTGTGTTTGTGTGGGGGACCCCCTGGCCCCATGGATTTTGGGTCTATGTTCACTTTTTCCAGCAAATCGTTGCCTGGGAGGTCTCCCTATTTAAAAGACACCACCAAATGCTGCAACACCCAAGTTCTAGGTCCCAGCAGTTCAATTGGAGGATAGGGGTGCCGGTTCTGAACGGAGGAGAATGAGGAGCAATAGGGGTGCCCCTGTCACATTCACTCACTTATTAGGGACTAAAACCATTCGGACACGGAACTGGTCTAAGAAGTCTCACAACCTACTTTCAGTGACATGGAGCAGTTGTCGCCTCGGACACACCCCTCCGAAAGCGCGCCACGGCCACACACACGTTTTGTTTCAGAAGCAGGGAAGCCCTCTGGCCTTTCCATCGCTGCTGCTTCCGGCGATGGACTCAGGAGATCAGAATCAGCCAAGCAATGGCCACCTGAGAAAGTCACTGACAGATGTTGTTCGATGCTGGCGTACATCGTTCGATGCTGCTTCGATGGCCCCCCCACGTCCTTGGGAAAACCCTCCAGGCCGACTTTGTCGGCCCAATCTTTTGGGGGGGTCCCACAAGGTGTCATTCCCAGACAATCCAGTATGGTATATTTAATGTTGCCGACATTCACCCTGAAACCACCCCTAATGATGTAAATATTCCCCCTTGGGTCCTTGGGTGTCTGGAATTGAAGAATTGTAGAAGGCTGAGTCTACAAGGACTGGGCAGCACAAAACGCGAAAGAGAAGAGGCGTCCAAAACGCGAGACGTCTCAGCCTAACGACAGTGAAAGTCCTTCGGATATATCGTGATAACGTGTGAATATCTCTTCGGATTCAATTCTTGTCGAAAATCGGGGAAATTGCATTTCCCACTCCAAAATGAGGGCTTCCTTTCAACACTTCTCAGTGTTGCCTGGTTCCCTTGTGGGAGCTGCGAGTCATGTCCACCTCTGACCCCTTTTGTTCAGCTTGGGGTCAAGAAACGATTCGTTGAACGGACATGTCTTCCACTTGTCAAGGCTGGTCATCTCCCCTTCTGGGAGGCCTGGCATGTTTCCAACCATTTGGGGACATGGTGAGGACTCCCCCCATGAGTCTATATGGAGCAGTATATGGCGCCTCCCACGGCTTCGGCTTGATGCCGAGCCGAGGTCGTGGGCCGAAGGAGCTGAGGAGAGCACCATGGCACCCATGGCACCGACAGGTTAGGCATTGGAATTCTTCGCAGCTCACAAGGAAGAAGGCAGCTCACAGTCCAAGGAAGAAGTGCGGCCCTTGTCAAAGATGATATACCCCTATATCGCCTATATATATATACTATTATAACTGCCCGCGGGTGACATAGGATTTGTTGAGGTACCTGAAATATCTAAGTCCTGGGTCATCGGGCAAGAGCTAAAGAGGCTAAACATGAATAACACCTAAGACATAAGCGTTTTGGATAGGAACACCACAGAAACGCAGCATAGCCGAGCCTATGCGAACTAGTGCCTATTCAATCAGGATCAATCAGGGTTTTGACCTATGATTGTGTTCTTCTGTTCTCGGAATTCTGACACGGAGGATCTTTAACCTTAACCACCCAATCTTTTTCTATGACGAAACGCGTGACATAGACCAGTCTCAGGGACACAAAGCCTATCTCATCAGACCAGGGACTGGGGGCATGTCTGGAGTACAAATAACATCATGACATAGGTTTGTGAAAAAAAACAACTCCCACTAGCCCCCAGTATGTATATATATATTTATATTATATATATATATGTATATTGACTCAATCAAAACAATATGCTACAGTATAGTAAATATAGTATTAATATATATATATATGTGTTGACAAGTCTGCCATACATGGAGTGTCAGGGATATGTCAATGTCAGCCAATCCGCACATCCACAAAGGAATAGACTCTTAGACTCTTAGATGCTCCAATTAGTCACCTGGGCTCCGTTCCCCTCCCGGCTGAGCGGCGTAGAAAAGCCACACCGGGTAGACGCCAAGGGCCTCACGACCCCCGTGGCACGGTGTCCCACAGTGTCCAGAACAGCGTGTCCATCGAACACCTGAAGAGCCATGAACGAACGGGTACAAACCAAGCCTAGTGCTTAACAACCTGGACCCTCCGTTCGATCAGGGTGGTCCTGTGTTTCCCTTCGTTCGGTGCCCAGAAACGGACCTGTGACTGGTTCAAAAAACATCGGTCTTGGAAAGTCCTCTCTCTTATCTTTGGAGTTGTTTGGTTGGAGAAAACCCCCCAAGAGCAGAACCAAAGCAGCAAGTGAATGCCGCTAAAAACCACTCCCGGATCTCACAATGGAGAACTCAACTCCTCAACGATCGAGGAGTGTCGCAAAAAAAGAAGGAAGTGTTTCTTTTGCGACCTTCCAACAAGTGGTTTTAGGATGTTTTAGGAACCCTCAGAGGTGGTTTCTGGGCAGTTGTCACCAGGAAACCACCGAAGCTTCGCGGAGTGATGCCACAGTCGGTGGCTGACTGCGGTGTCGATGTCGCCAGGAAACCACGTGCCGATGCCCACGGAGGTGTGGATTCTGGATCACAGGGATGTCTTGATTTGATAGAAAAAGTCCAGCCACAGTTGAAAGGAAGAACTTACTCCCTTGTTTTGAGCTTTGAGCACCCTCATGCCACACTGCCTCTTCCGTGCCAGTCTCACTCCAAACCCATGTTAAAGAATCTTGTGTGAAAGGGATTTATATGGATTTAATTTCATGTTATTTATCATCGTTTATACCTCCATCATCATCCATCTCTTGCTGCACTCACACACTCACCTCACACTCCCCCCCCTTCCTTCCTCCCATGGCCCCGCCTTCCGATCCTCGGGTAAAAGCTCCGACATAAAATTCACCTCACCAACCACCCGGACAGCTCGGGCGGAGTCATCGGCGGCGGCGTCCCGTCACCGGTACCGGTCGGGGTGCTGCAGGTCGGGTGTCTGACGCCGAGGGGCGCCAAACACCGTGGGCAGCTCGAAGGTCTAAGCGTGGGCGGATGAAAAGAGACGTGTGCAGCTTGTGAAGAATGAGGATACCAAATGTGAAGATGCCATGTTGCACCAATAGTTCGAAGCTGCGATGCAGGCCAGTAGATCAACCCTTCCCCCTTGCAGGGCCCAACACCGCACATGTCCGCACCAAAGGAGAACACATGAGAACACCCACCACTGATGAGGGCCGGTGCCCCCCCTTTGGAAGAAGGGGACGGGCTGTGTCGCCAAAAGAAGAGTCCAATCGGGACCTTCGATGGGTGGGGGTGCCTCTTTTGACCTCTGCAAGGCTTCCCCCGGTTTCCCCCTCAACACAACCAAAAAACGGGGACATGTATGGCCAGGACCTTGAAAGTGAGCGTTTTGGAGTCTCTGTCTGTGACCTTTTACGGATAGTCTAAGTGACCTCATCCCGGGATATCAAGGACGGTC